AAAAAAAATACAAAATTTTTTTTTAAAAAGGCGGGAATTTGGAGGCAGGAGGGAGGCAGTGTAGACAGGGACAGCACTGGAGAGAGGAAGGGAGCAGAGGCTGGGGCCAAGACAAGGAAATGACCAAGGGCCTTTAAAGAACAGAATGTCAAAGAAGGGATTTTAGGATTTTTACACTGTTTTCGTGTGTGACGTAGGTCCCCTCTATTTCCCAGTTTGGAAAACCATCCCACACCACAAGCCTTGTGTAAATGGAGTCCCTGGAAACCATGTTTGGGATGACACCAGGTACCATGTTTGGGATGACGCCAGGGTGGAGTCAAAGGACGATCTGCAAAGTTTCAAGAGGACACCAAAAGTTGACCAGAAGCTGGAAGGCAGAGCCAGCAGGGACCACAAGAATTTAAGAATTTCTTCCTCCTGAAATCCTAGGGAAGGTGTCGGACCCAGCATACAGCCTCAAATAAGGGTCTATCACCCAAGATGGGAGCATGTATTTTTTTAATTAAAAATAATATAACAACAACAAAAAAAAAATGAGAGTCTACAGCTGGCCTTAAGAAGAGCCAAAGAGGCCAGGAGACCCGGCACTGGCTCAGAGCTCAGCTCCTGGTAGAAAATCAGCAACTGTGGGCTGGGTGCAGGAGGGAGGAAAAAGAACCAGCACAGACAGAGTCCAGAGGGAGGAAAATAAAAAAAGTGAAGGCTCAGGACTGGGGGAGGGAGAGCCACAGGAGCCAGAGCCTCCTGACAGCGGGGTCTCCTGGGATACATCACAGTCTTAAACCAGCTCTCCCCACATACCTAGTTCCTAGGAAGTGTCCAGGCCAGAGTCCTGCACCGTATCACTAGAGACCTGCCTCCAACAACAGGATGTCCCTTCTCCAGCATCTCCCGAACCCCATGACTACAGCAGGCAAGCCCACCAGGCTGTCTTATTTTTCAAAATGTTATTGATTGCCATTTGCAAAAGAAACAGAGAGGATTCTTATTTTTTTGTTTGTTTGTTTTTTGTTTTTTTTTTTTTTGAGACGGGGTTTCGCTCTGTAGCCCAGGCTAGTGTGCAGTGACAAAATCTCAGCTTACTTCAACCTCCACCTCCGGGGTCCTGGTTCAAGCAATTCTCCTACCTCAGCCTCCCAAGTAGCTGGGGTTATAGGCATGAGCCACCATGCCCAGCTAATTTTTGTATTTTTTTTAGTAGAGATGGGGTTTCACCATGTTGGCCAGTCTGGTCTTAAACTCCTGACCTTGTGATCTGCCCACTTCAGCCTCCCAAAGTGCTGGGATTACAGGCGTGTACCACCACACCCGGCTAATTTTTGTATTTTTAGTAGAGATGGGGTTTCACCATGTTAGCCAGGTTGGTCTTGAACTCTTGACCTCAGGTGATCCTCCTGCCTTGGCCTCCCAAAATGCTGGGATTACTGGTGTGAGCCACCAGAGAGGGTTTCTAAAAGGGCCCCCTCTTACTGTTCTCCCTCATAGCATCTTTTCTTACTAAACCCCTGAAGGAAGACATAACAGCACAGTGGTGATAGTGAGGGTCTTTGTGAGTATAAATAGTTGATGAAAGAGGCTCTAGTGTTTCACCAGGGAGCTCAGACTAAGGATCCTAGACGTCTGCTCCTAAAGGCATCCCTAAATGAGGCCTAAGCAGGTACAGGAAGGAGACAGGATTGAGGAATGGGGAGGTAAGGGTTGCTGCCTCACCTCAACCCCAACTAGTAATCAAGCCCCCACATGGTGGGGCCTGGGAGCAGAGAGAAGCCAGAACAAAGAAAACTGTTTCCATGGACCATTAAGTCACTGCAGGGAGGTTTATCTATTTATTTATTTACTATTTATTTTTGAGATGGAGTCTTGCTCTGTGCCCCAAGCTGGAGTGCAGTGGCACAATCTCAGCTCACTGCAACGTCCACTTCCCGGGTTCAAGTGATTCTCCTGCCTCAGCCTCCCTAGTAGCTGGGACTACCGGCGCATGCCACCATGCCTGTCTAATTTTTTGTATTTTTAGTAGAGACAGGGTTTCACTGTGTTAGGCAGGGTGGTCTTGATCTCCCAACCTCGTGATCTGTCTGCCTCGGCCTCCCAAAGTGCTGGGATTACAGGCGTAAGCCACCGAACCTGGCCAGTTTTTTTTTTATTTTTAAATTTTTGTCTATTTATTTGTTTAGACACCAGGTTATAAGACTGGCTAATTTTTGTATTTTTCGTAGAGACAGAGTTTGGCTATGTTGCCCAGGCTTGTCTCAAACTCTTGGGCTCAAGTGTTCCACCTACTTGGCCTCCCAAAGTGCTGAGATTACAGGCATGAGCCACAGGACCCAGCCTTTTTTAAATTTAAATTTAGTCAAAGCTGTAAGTGTATCCCTTTCAAATGTCATTATTAGATTCAGCCCATTTCCCAAACCTGTAGAAATAATTTTGTAGACCCCATTACTCTTCAGTGCTCTCTCTCAGCAATACACTGCCTGCCAATTGGTTAACTAAAACTATTAGTCTTTATCCAAGACTTTGATTGAAGTGTTAGCCAGGGCAGAGCCCCGTGGCATATCATGAGAGACTTTCCTCCTGGAGCCTTTGCTAATCAGGCCTCTGTCAATCCACCCAATTATCTGTTCTACAGCCCTCTCCCTGTTCACATGGCATCATGAGGGACTGAAAAGGCTCTCAGATAACCAGAAGGCCCTTGAGAGTGGAAAGCTCTTCATTACTGTACAGGAGGAAAACGGAATCAGTGCGGTGTCCCTGGTGCCTGAACCCTTTGACTCCCTGCCACTCTGCACCTGAATGTCTGCATCTTAGCAGCAATCTCAGCAACCGGCTTATAGACCCAGAGAGATCTCCAGTGGCCCCCACCACCCTGAGACAGACAGAAAGACATAAACACACAGATGTTCCTCCATGAGGACCCCTACCGCATCCTCCTCGTCCACAGCAGCCTCATGCTCCAGGAGCAGACGCACAGCCTGCTCGTGCCCTGAACCTGCAGCCCAGTGCAGGGCCACCCTGCCAACCTGCCCGGAGGGAAATGACACTTGTCAGGTGCAGCTGCCACCTGGCTGCCTGGACCACCTCCCACACCCTCCCCCAGGACAGCTGCTCCGCAGGCTGGAAGGGTCTTTGCTGGCTCTGGTGACCAGCTGGCTGGGGACCCAGCCCCATTCTGCCCTATGCTCCTCTCCTACCTGGCCACCAAAGTCAGCGTAGTAAAATGACTGGACCCATTTGTCCCCACCTCAAACTCTTCACGGTTTCCCATGGCTCTCAGGATAAACTCTTAACCCGGGGGATGATGAGGCTCTGCATGCTCTGGTGCTGCCCACCACTGCTTCACAGAAATGCCAAGCAGCTTCCCACCTCTAGGCGTTTTCCTGCTGTTCTCCCTGCTGGGCAGCCAGCCCCGTGTGTCCAAGGATTATCCTCCAAGTCCCTGAGAGGCACCAGAGTGCCTGGGTTCTGTCCCCTTCTGTCTCTCAGAATAGGGCTGAAGGGGCCTGATGCCCCACCTCATTCTCAGGCAGTTCATCACGTCATCCAAGTAGGCCTGGGGGAAGCCGACCTGTGTCCCCTGTGCCCGCTTCTCCCGTCTGTAGTTTTCAGCTTATGAGGGGACAATGAAAGGAAGCACTAGTTTTCTGTGTGGTCTCAGGCAAGCCACATCCCCTCTCTGGAGCCCAGTTCTTCCTTCCTTCCTCAGGGCTTCTGCCTATGCCATTCCCTCTGCCTGGAACACCACCCTTTACCTGGCTCCTCAAAAATGCCACTTCCAGCAGGGTGAGGTGGCTCACGCCTGTAATCCCAGCACTTTGGGAGGCCGACGTGGGAGGACCACTTGAGTCCAGGAGTTTGAGACCAGCCCAAGGAACATAGCAAGACCCCTATCTCTAGGAAAAATACAAAAATTAGCCTGGCATGGTGGTGCGTGCCTGTAGTCTCAGCTACTGGGGAGGCTGAGGTGGGAGGATCACCTGAGCCCTGAAAGGTCAAGGCTGCAGTATGCTGTGATTGCTCCACTGCACTCCAGCCTGGGCGATGTGAGTTCCTGTCTCAAAAAAAAAGAAAAAAAGCCACTTTCTGCTGAGCGCGATGGCTCACGCCTGTAATCCCAGCACTTTGGGAGTCTGAGGCAAGTGGATCACCTGTGGTCTGGATTTTGAGACCAGCCTGACCAACATGGGGAAACCCCATCTCTACTAAAATTCAAAATTAGCCAGGCATGGTGGCACATGCCTGTAATCCCAGCTATTCGGGAGGCTGAGGCAGGAGAATTGCTTGAACCTGTGAGGCAGAGGTTGTGGTGAGCCGAGATCACACCATTGCACCCCAGCCTGGGCAACAAGAGCAAAACTCCGTCTCAAAAAAAAAAGGAAAAAAAGCCACTTCCTTGGGAGGCTTTTCCTCACCTTCCTGCACACACTCTTATGACAACTTATCACAGAGGGAATGAATTGTGTGTGGGATGCTTTGTGTAATGCCTCTCCTCCCATTTTGCCCATCTGCCAGCTTCTGGCTGCTGATCTTTGACCCTGGCCCTCCTGTCTCTAACCTCCCTTCCTTGGGTATACCTCTCAAATGGGTCTCAGAAGTTAATAGTTTGACCTCTGGAATTGCTCAAGCCTGGCTTGGAATCCTGACCCTGACCTTGGGTGGGGCCCAACCACTCTAAGCCTCAGATTCCTGGAGACAATGCAGGCCCTGCGGACAGAGCCTGAGCCTCCGTCCAAGTTAACACAGCCAATGTGCCTGCCTGTAGCTCAAATGAACTGTTCCGTGTACTGGCATTATCATGACACTATCCCAGGTGCCAGGAATCAGAGGAGCCCATTACGCACGTGGTTTCTGGCCCTGGTGTTAACCCTTCTCCCAATCAACTCCTGCATCCTGCTGATGTTGTTCCGGCGGGCGGCCTCATGGAGCTGCCTCTCCAGAGGAAGCACTAGGGGGAGAAAATGGGGTGCAGGATGAGGGGAAGGATCCCCCACACTGCAGACAGGAGAGGTAAACAGTCCATTCCCACTCCTGAACATTTCCGGGGTAGGGGTCTTTCAGCTGGGAACGGGGGCAGAGCGGCATGGCCCTCCCCAGACAGGCTGCTCTTCCTCACTAACTCACCCCGCAGCCACGCAACCAGGACGTGATAAAACCCTGAAGATGAGGGAGGAGAGCAAGGCAATCCACAGCAGCCTAAATATGTGCCCCATTATCCAAGTTTCATGTGCCCTCTCGAGAGCTGTTCTTGGGGAAGGAATAAAATGAACTCCCTCTGGAGTCAGTAACCACCTTCTCCACGGTGCAGTCTAGTGTAGAAAACAGCCAGGATTTACTGAGCTACCTACTGCATGCTAGCGCTGAGTGAGGTATGTTTACCCAACTTCTGTGCCTTCCATCTCCTTGTTCCTCTACCCCTTCTTCCAACCCCTCTATCACCCAGGCAGGAGTGCAGTGGCACACTCTTGTCTCACTGCAACCTCTGCCTCCCGGGTTCACAGGATTCTCCCACCTCAGGCTCCTCAGTAGCTGGGATTACAACCATACGCCAGCACGCCTGGTTAATTTTTATATTTTTAGTAGAGACAGGGTTTCACCATGTTGGCCAGGCTGGTCCCCAACTCCTGACCTCAAGTGATCTGCCTGCCTCAGCCTCCCAACATGCTGGGAGGCTCTTCCACCCTCTCTTGCCCAAATCCTAACCAGCTTTCACCTCCCTATGCTGAAGCTACCCTGATTTTCCTTCTCTGTGGTCTCTCTCTTCTCTGTGCTCCTCTCACCCCCATCGCTGTACCTTTAGCACAGACTGTCAGACTAAAGGGAACCTCAGAGCTCCCCCTGCTAGCCCCTATCACACATAGCTGGGGGCTCAAGGTCAGACTGCAGGTTAGTGTCTGAGCCAGAAGGACCCAGGCCAGATGGCATCCCACAGGAGCCCCATGCTACCGTCATCCTGACGGCTCTTGATTGTGAGGATGTCTAGTCTTCATCCTCATATCTTTTCATGTCTCATTTCTAATCATTATGTTAGAATGTTGGGGTCTAGCCCAACCGTCTTGGAGGCCCTGACCATACTTGACCCTTCCTGATCCACCCACAGCTCACAGCAGGCCCAAAGGTGGGCACAGGGAGAAACCCACAAAACTCTGCTTCTGAGCCAGGCATAGTGGCTCATGCATGCAATCCCAGCACTTTGGGAGGCCAAGACGGGAGGATTGCTTGAAGCCAGGAATTCGAGACCAGCCTAGGCTACAAAGCAAAGCCCCATCTCTACAAAAAAAAGTTTAAAAAAAAATTAGCCAGGTGTGGTGGCACTCGCCTGTAGTCCCAGCTATTCAGGAGGCTGAAGCAAAATTGCTTGAGCCCAGGAGTTTGAGGCTGCCAATAAGCTATAATTGCACAACTGTGCTCCAGCCTGGGCAACAGAAAGAGACCCTGTCTCTAGAAAGAAAACAAAAACAGGCCAAGCTCAGTGGCTCATGCCTGTAATCCCAACACTTTGGGAGGCCAAGATGGGCGAATCACCTGAGGTCAGGAGTTTGAGACCGCCTAACCAACACGGAGAAATCCCGTCTCTACTAAAAATACAAAATTAGCCAGGTGTGGTGGTGCATGCCTGTAATCCCAAGTAGCTGGGGTTACAGGCATGCGCCACCACAGGGGAGGCAGGCTGAGGAAGGAGAATCGCTTGAACCAGGGAGGCAGAGGCTGTGGTGAGCCGAGATCACGCCATTGCACTCCAGCCTGGTGACAGAGCAAGACTCCATCTCAAAAAAAAAAAAAAGAAAAGAAAAGAAAAAGATGAAAGAAAGAAAAAAAAACAAAAACAAAAAAATCTCTGCTTGTATGAGTGACACCAACAATCCCCAGATGAATAGATGCCTGTCCTCTCTCCCAAAGGGCTCACACATACTAGCACAGAGGACAAATATTTGCTGGCCCTTTGCACAGTCACTGCAGGGCAAGTGACCCCACAGCCTGCATGTTTGGTCCAGTATGAATGTCTGAACCCAGCCCCTTTGTGTATCCAGGGACAGGTGACAAGCGTCTTGGTAGGGAAGGCTAAGAGGCACTGAGGTGACAGACAGCCTGCCATGCGGTTTGTTTTTCGGGATAAATTCCACACAGCCTTCTCCGGGTGTGAAAGAGGATCTTGGTCTTTCTGGGGCTTCACGGATACAACCTGTAGACTTCGGAGTTGCTGCCCCAGAGGGCAATCACACAGTCCTGGGTTCAACTCTGGCTGAACCATTTCCTAGCTGTGTGACTTAGGCAGTTCCCTCATCTTCAAAACAGGGGTGTGAGCTTCCCTACAAGATTAACGTAATGATTAGAAATGAGATGTGAAAAGCCCCTGGCACGGTGTCTGGCACATAATGACCACACCACCACCAGCAGCACCATCACCATCACTATTATTCCTCCAAGGCAAAGGGTCAAATTCTGGTAGCCAAAAAGAGCTGCCAATTCAAGTGTGTGCTTACAGAGGCCTGGGTTCTAGTACCTGCCCCACCACTTTCCAGCAGCAGGATCCTGGGCTAGTCACATCCCCCTTGCAGGTCTGTTTCTTCCATTGTAAAATTGGGGAGGGTGAAGAAAGAGATCTGTATAGGTCCCTTCCTATCTGGCACCCTCTATCTTAGTGGCAGCTTAGGGGGACTGGCCTGATGCATATTGCCAAACAGCCAGGTGTCCCAGTAGGAAGCCAGCAGACACTGTGGAAAGCCAGGCCAGAGAAGGTCAAGTTAGAGTGAAATCAAGTCCAGTCTCATCTCTTCCATCCACCTCGCCCGATGTACCCTCTTTCCAGCCACATCTGATACCACTGAGCTGACTGAGCCTTTGCCCATGCTGGGTCCTCTGCCCAGAATTCCCTGCTACACACTGCAATGCTCCATTGCTACACTTTTTTTTTTTTTTTGAGATGAGGTCTCGCTCTGTTACCAGACTGGAATGCAGTGGTGCAATCTCGGCTCACCACAACCTCCGTCTCCTGGGTTCAAGCAATTCTCCTGCCTCAGCCTCCAGAGCAGCTGGGACTACAGGCGTGCACCACCATGCCCAGCTAATTTTTGTATTTTTAGTAGAGACGGGGTTTCACCATGTTGACCAGGATGGTCTCGATCTCTTGACCTCGTGATCCACCCGCCTCGGCCTCCCAAAGTGCTGGGATTACAAGCGTGAGCCACCGCGCCCAGCCGCTAAACTTTCTTTACAGGCTCCCCCGCAAGTGATCCTCTGCCCCAGGCAGAACCATGTACCTACTTTGAAATAATTAGCATCTTGATGGAGCACCCCCACCCCCAACACATCCCTCAGCTGAGTAGATGCAGTGTGCCATTATTTTGAACATTATAGGACTCAAGGGAATCCAGTGAGCTGCACTATAGGCATTTGACGGAGAGCCCTGGGATTCAGCTGTTCGGGCTCAGCCAGGGTTCCGAATCAAGGACTCACAGTGCGTTCACCGACACAGTCCTTCTCTCCCCTCTCCCAGACAGTGCAGCCAAATCTGCCCCAGGCCAGCTGATACCAACATAGACGCTGCTGCCCGGCCTAGAGGCCCTGGCACTGGGCACACTCCTTGAGGGAGGCTCAGAGGCGCCCTCATCCCACCTGTGGCCAGTCAGGCTCCTCTTTGAGAATGTGCCCCATCCCATGTGGTCTCCACCCGCACTCCGGCCCCAGCCTTCCCGGGGAGCTGGGGCCTTCAGCACTTCTACCACTCAATGGCTGTGTGACCTGGCACAACTCATTTAAACACCCTGTGCCTCAGTTTCTCATCTGCAAAATGAAGATAACAAACTATCCTATCCATATGGCCGCAGCGAAGATCAAATGATGTGCCTCTCCTGGGTCAAGGCCTGGCGCACAAACTACAGCACGCAGTCAAGGATCGCTATTACCTTTATTATTTGTAGCTAACCTCTCCTCAGCTGTTGCCCCTCCCCTCGAGCGCCCCGCTCACTTGGCGGGTGGCACCCCCGACTCCCAGACGCACAGGCTAGATCCCCTCGCCCCGGGGAGCGGACCAGTGACCATTCAGCTCAGAACCACACAGACACCCAAGTCGGAGGTGGCCATTCGGAGGGCGCCAATCTTATCCCTGGCACTACCCGAACGGATGCGGGAGTCCTCTCAGCCTCAGCCCCCCCCCATCCCCCGGCCCAACGGACTCACAGCAGTCTGTCTCATACGCCAGCTCCTCCTGCATCCCGCGGCTACGCAGCCCCTGCGCGCTCTGGTGCAGCGGCGGGAGGCGCACGTCTGCGGGGGCGGGGCCCGGGGAGCCGAGGGGAGGGGGCGGTCGCTCCTCCAGACCCCTCACCCTGCCTGCTAGGAGCGCAGCGGCAGCGGCCACCCCAGTCCTGAACCAGGATGCAGGTCCCTCCTCCTTCTCCCTTAACCTGCCCACCGCTCCGCGGCCGACGCCGAGTTCTGCAGGTGGTCCTGACCCAGTCTCCCAGACCCTGGAGATAAATGCGGCAAGGCATCCGACAGGCTCACCTTCCTCGCCCAGCTTGGGGCAGAGGGACGAGCCTTGGGCTCGCCGCCCTCTGGCGCAGAGAGTCAGACCCCAAGGACGTGAGGAACCCCAAGGTTCCTCAATGGTTTGAGGAACCACAACTTCAGCAGGTCTGCAAGCATGTGAAGAGATGGTGGGATTTATCAGTGTTCCGAAAGATGACAATGAGGTATCACACCCATTAAGACTGGCAAAAATTAAAAAGCCTGATAATGCCAAATGTCAGCGGACAATATGGAGCTGTCGAGCTGGGGTGAGTAGCCTGTGGCTGTTCACGGGCTACTAGAAAATAATCTAGAAAACAGTCTGACAGTAATGAGGGAAATTACGGTGAACTGTAAAATCCAGCTCCTTGATATAGATCTCTGAAATTCTCTTGCAGGCCCACAAAGGAACATGTGGGAAGATGTCAGCTGCTGCGTGGCTGTGGGACCTGGAGGCAATCTAAGCGCCCTTCATTGTGAGCGCAGGTGGATAAAATGTAGCACTGTGAAGCTCTCCAAACAAGGGACCCGGTGTATTCATGGCAGTATGGATTTAAACACCTAGTGCTAGGCAGAAAAAGTAAACAACCAAACCAAATAAGACCTAGAAGACAATATTAATAAAAATATTACAAATGCATTTACATCAAACAACAGACTCGCAAAGACACGTAGAACCAAAAAGGTACACATTAAATACACCAGAATGTGTTGTACTTCAGACCCTTGGGGAATGTCCATGGCCTTTTTGCCTTAAAGGCATTTGTAGCATCTTTAAGTTTAGGGTGCTCCTGACCCTAGTGATAGTGGGGCCTCAGACATCTCTATCCCAGGGCAAGAAGCCAGCAAAACCATGATAGGTGTAGTTACTACTTTGTGGATCAAAGGAGGAAGAGCACCTTTCAGTCATTAGTCCTTAGGATATAGTTCAGGAAGTCTTCCTGAAGAAGGAGGTATTTGGAATGAAAAATAACATAATGACAACAGATAACAATTAATGAGCCCTGAGCCAACTGCTCAAAATGGTCTCAAAATAACAATTGCAACATAATAATCAAAGACATAGGCCAGAAGCCGTGACTCACACCTGTAATCCCAGCACTTTGGGAGGCCGAGGCTGACGGATCTTGAGATCAGGTGATGGAGACCATCCTGACTAACACAGTGAAACCCTGTCTTTACTAAAAATACAAAAAATTAGCAGGGTGTGGTGGTGCGCACCTGTCATCCCAGCTACTCGGGAGGCTGAGGCAGCAGAATCACCTGAACCCAGGAGGCGGAGGTTGCAGTGAGCCGGGATCATGCCACTGCTCTCCAGCCTGGGCTATGGAGCGAGTCTCCAAAAAAATAAAAAATAAAAAATAAATATATATATAAAGATATGATTCCTCAGGGAGGGATCCAAGATGGCCGAGTAGGAGCAGCTCTGGATTGCAGCTCCCACTGAGAGGGCGGAGAGTGAGTGGTTGCCGCATTTCCAGACGGATTTTTATTGCCCACAGACGAGGAGATTCCTGGGTGGAGGAGCGCCATGGGTCTCCAGCGTGGCTGTTTCGGCCAGCACGGCTGTTTGGGCTGGTGGCGGGTCCCCACAGGTCTCCGCACAAAATACTCACACGGGTCTGGGCACCCTTTCAGCTGATGACTGGAATGCCTGGGGAACAGAGTCGCCCATTCAACTGACAAAAAAGGGGTCTGAGGCTGGGAGCCAGGCGATCAGGCACAGCCGGTCCCACCCCCACAAAGACCAGGAATCTGAAACGCTCTGGACTGAGAGTTTCACAGCAAGCACAGCTGAACCTGGGAAGGTCCAGCTCTGTTGGGGAGGGGCGTCTGCCATTATCGAGGTAGTCCGCCATTGCTAAGGCAGTCCACCATTGCCGAGGCAGTCCGCCATTACCCAGGCAACCAGCCATTACCCAGGCAGCCTGCCACTGCCGGGGCAGTACACCATTACAGAGAGAGTCTATCATTACAGAGGCCAGCCGCCATTGCTGAAGCAGTTCTAACTATACCCCTATAAACAGAACTGCAGGGAAATTCACACAGCAGCTGGGCAGAGCCCACAGCAGCTCAGCAATGCCTCTGCTGGCAGACTGTGACTAGGCTGCCTCCTCGCTGGGCAGGGCAGCCCTCAAAAAAGGCAGCAGCATGACAGAAACTTATAAATAAAGCCCTACCTTCCCAGGAGAGAGCACCTGGGAAAAGAAAGCCTGTTATGAGTTCTGCTGCAGCAGACTTAAATGTACCTGCCCAGCAGCTCTGAATGGAAGAATGGGGCTCACAGCTCAGCACTTGAGCAAAGGACAGACTGTCTCCTCAAGCAGCTCTCCCTGACCCCCATATATCCAAAGAGTCACCTCATAAAGGAGAGCTCAGACTGATACTTGGTGGGTATCCTTCTTGGACAAAGATAGCAGAAGAAGAAACTGGCAGCAACCCTTACTGTTCTGCAGCCACTGCAGGTGAGCCCCAGGCAAGCAGGGTCTGGAGTGGACCTCCAACAGTCCTGCAGCAGAGGAGCCTGACTGTTAGAAGGAAAACTAAGAAACAGAAAGAAATAACTTCATCATCAACAAACTGGATGTCCACTCAGAGACTCAATCTGAAAGTCACCAACCACAAAGACCACAGGTAGATAAATCCACAAAGATGGGAAGAAACCAGCACAAAAAGGATGAAAACACCCAAAACCAGAACGCCTCTCCTCCTCCAAGGGATCAGAACTCCTCACCAGCAAGGGAACAAAGCTGGATGGAGAATGAGTCTAATGAATTGACAGAAAGAGGCTTCAGAAGGTGGGTAATAAGAAATTTCTCTGAGCTAAAAGAACATGTTCTAACCCAATGCAAAGAAACTAAGAACCTTGAAAAAAGGTTTGACAAAATGCTAACAAGAATAAACAGCTTAGAGAGGAACATAAATGAATTGATGGAGCTGAAGAACACAACATGAGAACTTCGTGAAGCATACACAAGTTTCAATAACCAAACTGACCAAGCAGAAGAAAGGATATCAGAGGTCAAAGATCAACTCAATGAAGTAAAACAAGAAGGCAAGATTAGAGAAAAAAGAGTAAAAAGAAACGAACAAAACCTCCAAGAAATATGGGATTATGTGAAAAGACCAAATCTACATTTGATAGGTGTACCTGAATTTGATGGAGAGAATGAATCCAAGCTGGAAAACACTCTTCAGGATACTACCCAGGTAAACTTCCCCAATCTAGCAAGGCAGGCTAATATTCAAGTCTAGGAAATACAGAGAACACCACAAAGATATTCCTCAAGAAGAGCAAACCCAAGGCACTAATCATCAGATTCACCAGTGTTGAAATGAAGGAGAAAATGCTAAGGACAGCCAGAGAGAAAGGTCAGGTCACCCACAAAGGAAGCCCATCAGACTCACAGCAGATCTCTCAGCAGAAACCCTACAAGCCAGAAGAGAGTGGGGACCAATATTTAACATCCTTAAAGAAAAGAATTTTCAACCCAGAATTTCATATCCAGCCAAACTAAGTTTCATAAGCGAAGGAGAAATAAAATCCTTTACAAACAAGCAATTACTCAGAGATTTCATCACCACTAGGCCTGCTTTACAAGACCTCCTGAAAGAGGCTTTACACATAGAAAGGAACAACCAGTACCAGCCACTCCAAAAACGTACCAAATGGTAAAGAGCAGCAACACAATGAAGAAACTGCATCAACTAATGGGCAAAACAGCCAGCTAGGGTCAAAATGGCAGGATCAAATTCATACATAATATTAACCCTAAAAGTAAATAGGCTAAACACCCCAATCAAAAGATACAGACTGCCAAACTGGATAAAAAGCCAAAACCCATCAGTGTGCTGTATCCAGGAAACCCATCTCACATGCAAAGATACACATAGGCTGAAAATAAAGGGATGGAGGAAGATCTACCAAGCAAATGGGGAGCAAAAAAAAAGCAGGAGATGCAACCCTAGTCTCTGATAAAATAGACTTTAAACCAACAAAAATCAAGAGATAAAGAAGGACATTACATAATGGTAAAAGGATCAATGCAACAAGAAGAGCTAACGATCCTAAATATATTCGCACCCAATACAGGAGCACCCAGATACATAAAGCAAGTTCTTAATGACTTACAAAGAGACAGACTCCCACACAATAGTAGTGGGAGACTTTAACACTCCACTGTCAATATTAGACAGATCAAAGAGACAGAAAATTAACAAGGATATCCAAGACTTGAACTCAGACCTGGACCAAGCAAACCTAAGAGACATTTACAGAACTCTCCACCCCAAATCCACAGAATATACATTCTTCTCGACACCACATCACACCTACTCTGAAATTGACCACATAATTGGAAGTAAATCACTCCTCACCAAATGCAAAAGGAGGAACAATGCCCTATCCCATAAGCTAGGCGTGATTCTGCTTCCTCAGTGCATCCTGACTGACAAAATAACATTTGTGTTGTATATTCTCCATTTACTGCAGTAGCATACTATATACCATCTTCTCACTTTGCCCTCCCCCTTAAAATTCACCCACTTAAGTGTATAATTCAACAGTTTTTAGTACAGTATTATTCAGAGTTGTTTAACTATCACCACTAACTTTTTTTTTTTTGAGATGGAGTTTCACTCTGCCACCCAGGCTGGAGTGCAATGGTGTGATCTCAACTCACTGCAACCCCTGCCTCCTGGGTTCAAGCAATTCTCCTGCCTCAGCCTCCTGAGTAGCTGGGATTACAGGTGCCCGCCACTACTCCCGGTTGACTTTTGTATTTTTAGTAGAGACGGGGTTTCACCATATTGGCCAGGCTGGTCTCGTACTCCTGACCTCAGGTGATCCACCCACCTCGGCCTCCCAAAGTGCTGGGTTTACAAGTG